GTACACCAGCTAACAAATTATTCCATTTTGATTTTAATAATAATATAAGGGGTCGGCGGGTCACACATTTTTAACTTAGAGCCGGGTAAAAAAATATCCCTAACATCTCTGGCCGAAATTGAGTTGGGTAAAAATCAGGGTGGGGAAAGGATTTATATGAGATGATAAAGTGTGCTTTCAAGTATTTGGAAGTTTACATTAAAAAAAAAAAATATCAATTGTTGGTTTGAAGGTTGCCTGCAATGTCAGTGAACCTTGTCCTCAGTCGTGACAAAATCGTATGAGTCAGTGAATTTGTGAACCTCTCTTTCACAGTGAAATTATGAACTTCTTCTATTATCGTGAAAACAACATAATCGTTCCTCCGATCATGTAAAATCATGAACGTCTCTAGCAGTTTCTGTGAAATCCTAAACATTTTTTTCGGTCCGGGAATCTTCATCATTGTCTCACACAATTTCAAAGAAATCTTGCTTTTTGATCAGGTAATCTTCTCAGACGCTTTTGGCTATTGGGAGAATAAAATCTCAGCTCAAAAATCAAACATTTCAAATGGTGAAATTATTTTTTTCAAGTTTAACAAATAATGTTTGAGTCCGTAAGTGAGGCCCTTCCGGTCTGAAGCCCTTGGCATTCGCTCTGTCCGCCTTTAGAAAAATTCAGCCCTGATTTGGTTTGCTAGTCAAGTGTGTATTTATTTACCATTTGGTTATCTTACCTTATTGAAGGTTTTAGTTTTAATCCCAAAGGCTTTGTGGTTGGAAATCACCCAGTGCAACTAAGATCGGCTAAATATTATGGTATACACAAAACCGTTTCAAACTACAATAAAAACCTAAAAATACATGGGCGACAAAAAAAAACATTGACACATTAAAAAACACTCGCTAATTTAGTGTGTTTGTTCTCTGTTCCAGATTAGCCTTGCTGTTGTACCACGGAGACAGTTACACAGCGTTTGAGCAGCGACTGAAGGGCTTCCTACAGATGAAGCAGAGACATTTGGAGATCCTCGGCTACAGAGTCATCAGCCTGTCAGACTCTCTGTGGAACGCCATGTACATGACAGAACCCAAGGTCAAGCTGGAGTACCTGCATAGTCTCATTTGGCCTTCATGACAGGTAACTATAACACACCTTGGCTGCAGTTATGGCCCATGTCGGCCATGTCAATTCAAATATTTGATAAGAGGGTAGTTTTGTTGGCCCAAGCTGTTCAGACTGAGGGATATTTCTGAGGGTCAAAGAAGGGGAATGAGAAAGAGAGACTTGTTAGGTAAAATATAAAATATAACCTGATTGCCATTGTGGACACAAATTAATATGTAGTGAGCTTTGTAATTAAAGAGACGATAGTATAAAAATCCTATTATTGTCGTAGACTGAAATGTTAGATGTATGTGAAATGTTAGATTGAAATGTGAGTTTTTGATTCAAATTTACATTAGATTCCATATTTTTTATTGTGTGATCTTTGCTGTGGCTGGTCCTTTAATGAACCTTTTGCGCACTATTGAGACACGATAAGCCCCAGTAAGAAAACCATGTTGGGTTCAATTTTGAAAAATGTTGATCTAACAACATTGTTTTTAGTTTTCCCCAAATAATTAGATTCAACAAATTTAAACAAAAGTTTCCCTGTATAATAATACACTTCATTCGATTACATGGACACATAGAAATAACAACAACATGGTTGTGCATTAGTTACAACTACAAGTTGCAACATGGTTGTCGGCTTAATTGTCTATGATCTGATAAAAATGTACTACAAATTAACCGATTTATCGCTTTTAACAAAAACTCAAATTATTTGTTACATTAAATTAAACAGCCATAGTATTAAAACAATTATGTCTTCACTAGGAATTCTCAAATGAAGATGAAGATCCAAAGTGACGATGCCAAATGCTGCAAAAAAACTGATTAGTGGTAAGAAATCTGTTGTATAGCATTACAGTATTTATTATTTCTTTTGTAAATAAAAACCTTATTGGTATTAATTGTTATTTGATTGTTATTTTAACCAAGCCTTTAGTATTTAGTAGTGTATTATTTTTAAATATTAGCTTTCATTTCAAACTAAACTAAACCTTAATTTTTGAGGTGTTGCCCTCTGGGTTGATTTTAACAATACTATTTTAGAAGTTAAATACCTTTTTGTTGCCAATGTAATCTCTTGTTCGCCTGGATAGCGACCGTTTTCAACACTCAATGTGTCATTGTCAAGCCTTAAGACATGTTGTCGCTCCTAGCAGGTCGTCAGGAAGTCTTTAAAACATAAACACGAGACATGAACAAACATTTTCACGAATAAATAAAATTAATTAAGCAAAATCCCTTTGAATAAATATTTAGCAGACATTTGAGTTATGCAAGAGGTGATATTGACAATTTATTCTTAACTCTTTCACTGACCAATCTTTGTCTTTTTTAAATCCCGTTGGCCAGATGCCAAGATAATAGATAATACAGAAAGGACATTTTAAAATACTTTAGACTATAAATGGACTAATTTAATGGAATTTGTTTGCACAATTTGATTTCCTTTCCCTAATTCAATGATGAGTAGCTTGCTCAATAAGTGGTCAGATGTGCTAGACGCTAGACACAACAAATTCACTATTCAACTTTCACTTGAGGTGTATTTATTTTTAGTGTCTCACCTATCAATACTGCATTACCAGGTGAATTCTGTAGGATGTTTTCGGTCAACCAAGACAGGATTATAACCTTGAAACCTTCAATAAACTATTTTTTGATAAATCTTTACATCACTGTGTCACTAATCACTGATTGGATATTATTGATATTAATACTTTAATACTTTTCAATAATAAACTAGTTTACCTTGTGGTTGCCAGATTCTTGAAATGAGTATATATCTTGCTCGATGTACATTTCGCTACATGTGTAGCATCGTCAGGAGCACAGTTTGTCACATTAGGCTATTTAACACAAACACTATTTACAAATATTTACATTTACGGTCGGATGACGATTTACGGTACGTAAAGTCATAGGAACACAGCGCGCGAACGCGTGCGCGGACCGGAGGCACTACATGTGTCACTATTTGACTGACAACTGGCTTGAGGAGGTATGTTTGGGGAGGTTCGGTCAGGGGATGGGGGTGAGTTTATGATGTTAGAGCTTTCTCTTCTTGGACTGTGACGTTGCCAAGTCTCTGCGCTGTTGCCACATTGATCTTCTAGATGGTTTATAAGTTTGAAAATTATTGAATTGTTGTAATCTTCTTTTTTGTTTAACAGGGTGTCTGTATTTGAACTATGGGTATGTTTGTATATGTGGTAGCTTTCTTGGACTTTTGCTATCGACTTAACTCTTTCGCTCCACCTAACATCATAAACTCACCCCCATCCCCTGACCGAACCTCCCCAAACAAAGCTCCTCAAGCCAATTGTCAGTCAAATAGTGACACATGTAGTGCCTCCGGTCCGCGCACACGTTCGCGCGCTGTGTTCCTATGACTTTACGTACCGTAAATCGTCATCCGACCGTAAATGTAAATATTTGTAAATAGTGTTTGTGTTAAATAGCCTAATGTGACAAACTGTGCTCCTGACGATGCTACACATGTAGCGAAATGTACATCGAGCAAGATATATACTCATTTCAAGAATCTGGCAACCACAAGGTAAACTAGTTTATTAATAATTTGTTCTTGAAGCTGGAATAATACACAACTTTTCAATACTTTTTATTTAAATGGCGACCATACTAAGTAAGTATTTTAAGCCAAGTATGAATAGAGATGAGTGTAGGATGAGTGGCGCGATCTTGTAGTCTTGTTAGTGACCAAGGACGACATATTCCTTAGGCACAGCTGTAAATTAATTGCCCATACAGCTAAAGGCAACTAAGGGACCTACAGTTTATAGTGGATTCCGAACCACATTTTTGCCTTGGTATTAACGAGTTGGTCCAATTACCAGGATAGTACTGCGGATAGTCATAGTACTCACTAGTGCGGACGTTAATCCACACCAGGGAGTATCGCATCCACAGTGCATGCCTATAAATATCCACAATATAACAGGTATCCACCTAACAATGCCAGTACACACTGAACACTGAATACAGAGTGTTTCATGGTAACCTTGACAAAAATCGGGAAATGGTTATTTGGATCAAAACTAGATAAAATGTCCTATAAGCATATGTCCTAATCTCACTCATTTTCTATTTATACGTAAAAATAGTTGTTTTTAGGTTTTCAGTGTATCTATTGAACATTTTGACTTCTAGATTGAAAAATTGACAAGATATTTTGATAAAACTTGCATTAATATATAGAATATTACATTTCATAGAGAATTCATTACTATTTTGGGCAAACATGTTGGTTATGACTAATAAAAATAAGTTTAAAAACAAAATATTTTTGAAAAAAATCTAGATTAAAAATTATTTTTTTGTTTTTGACAGCTCTTAATGTAGTAACTATTCAAGCTTTTGGCTTGCTACTTTACCAAAAGTTGTAGAATTTAACGGAGAACAAGGAAATGTGAATTTATGTATAACTTTTATTGGGATTATTTTTGTCAACATTTTGTAAAATATAAAAAATTATTAAATTAAGCGAAATAAACATAATTGTATATTTAGCTTATTTTTAAACTAATCCTAATAAAAGTTTAGAATTTTTTCACATTAATTTGTTTTATTGGAGTAAACCTGTTAAGTGTTTGAAGATAACAGTTGAAAAGATTTGTATCTTTTGAATTATATGGTAGGCCTATTTATTTAAGTTATCAATGCAAGAATTACTTAACCTCTGTGAATGGAAGTATTTGTCAAAATTTTCTAGCAGGGTATAGCTTTATTTCTTTTTAACATTTCAGAAAATACTACTTTATACAGCACACTACAATGGTACATATATTTTGCATTATAGGCATGCATGACTTTTGAACTATTTTTTGTTTTAGTTTCCAATCTGTACAACGGTTTGCTAAGGGACCAATAAAGTCAATTGCTTTAGTTAGAAATTATTTATTAAAATAATAATCTCACTTTAATTACAAATCTACATACAAACCACAGTCTTACAATTACTGGATCAGAGCTCTTTACTTAAAACACATAATACAATAACAAAATAGGCCTAACTTGTTGGTTTATTTAAAGGTGAATTATATTACACCATGTTTTTAAACTACTAAACAGTTATGCCTTGTATCAATAAGGACTTTGGAACCCGACATCAACAGAGGTTTGAAAACATTGGTAAATCTTTCCTCTTTGATGATTGAGCGTGTGATTTGCTTTACAGGGTATAATGTGGAAGTATAGCAAAACCTTATTATTTGATAAAACTTATCCAAACAAATAGCAAGCTTGCATTTATTAGCTGTGTGTCTGTTTCACCACTAGAAACAAATCTCAATAAATTAGTTTTTTAGATATACAAAATTAAAACAGACCACAAAATTATCAGGCCATACTTTCTTATATCCTTAAATGAGGGAAAAAGACATTGTCCAGTCCTTAATTGGCAAAAAACAAGATGCAAAACTATGGTGGATTGGGCAGTTTGACTTTTTTCCATATCATTTAATGAGATTGTATTATAGTATCTAACATTTTTATTTTCCTTATGAATAGTTAATCTATCACAGCAATACGTATATCAAAGATTTATAGCATTTTTGTACCGTACTTTTAATCTAAATTAATACCAAATAAGAAAATAACACTAGCAGACTGCCAAAATAAACGTAAACAATACACAAACAAAATATATGTTACATTTATGAAATTTGTTTTCATTGAATGAATGTTTAGGCTTTTTAGTTACAATCATTAACTTTGGACCCTTCGTAAACAGTCGAAAATCAATTAAATGAGCTTACACATTACTAGTTTTGAGCAAATTAAAACATAATCCTAATATAACTAGAAGTAATTTAAACGGTATTGAGTATTATAGTTAATTCTTATTGATAAATATTTTTGTACGCTACAATTAAAAGACATATATTAACATTTATTATCACAAAACCTTAAATATTAGGAACTACATTCTAATCATAGGTACTCAGTCGCTTTCGAGCCTCCGTACTAGAGAGACTTTGTCGTAGAGGAGTTGTCATTTTTGTCAAGTTCTTTCAGGACATCTTGATGTTACAACCTGTTCATGAGGTGTATGATGTCTTTGTAGAGGATAGTTTTAGCATTGTTTCCCCACAAGTAGTCAATGTGGTTGAACATCTTGTAGGGAACTTTGAACACTCCGATGACATTCGGAAGTTTTTTGACTAGCTTCATAACGTCCTGCAAAACGCAGAGCGTTAACTACTTAGTCACAAAAATGGTAGTTTGATAAAAATAAACGGTATTGGTAAACTGACACATACTTTCTCCTATTAGCTTCTCAACAAACCTTAAAATGGGGGTGGGAGAAAATATGATATTTTATAGGTAAAAACACAAAAATTGCTGTAACTTTTTAACACCAATTTTTACAGCATTGTGGGTTACCATATTGATTAGAATTAAATAGACCATGACATATTAAATTTTAATCAAAATAATTCTAGCTATTTTTGTGAAAAACCTATTTTTTGAGTTTTTAAGGAAAATCCACATTAAAAATTAACGGTAACAGCAATCTGACTCATACTTTCTCCCATTAGCTTGTTAACAACTTTTATCATGGGCAAGCAGTGGGAGTAACTAACTAGAGTTAAAAGGACTATAACATACTAAATTTAAATCAAAACTGGTCAAGCGGTTTTTTTGGACTTTGAAGTACACACTAGTTTGGTTTAATGTATTTTCTGTTATAAGAGTGTGGTAAGTATTACCTTCTCAGAAGACAGGTTATCGTTGGTGCTGTAGTGGATGGATACTGGAGCTGTGACTAGTGAGAGGTCGTACTCAGGCGCTTCTGTGTTGCCGTAAACCTTGAGGTTGTTTGTCGGTCCGTAGTCAAACCATTGGAACCGCCCTGCAAAATTTATTGTGACTTATTACAACTTTACTTACAAAGCTAACATGTTTAGACGTTAAAACATTATTTCTCAGAACCTCCCAACTTCTCACTACTAACATTTTGGGTTGATTTAGTACTGGCAAGAAATTGAATGCAGGGATGAAATATTAAATCCTTGGAGTGTTCTAGGTGACGTGGGCAGTTACAGTCACATTCATTCCTCTTTGAAATTTTCTCCCACTAAAAGCTAATTATATGTTAAACCTGTTACCAAAACCCCTTGAGTATTCTGTTGAATCTTTGGTCAGTTCTGGTAACTTTTCTATTCCACGGAACTCTCCCTTTCATAGCTCTGAAACCCTTATGCCCAGAGCCTCTCACTAAATTATCCCTTGTTGAGTCTATGGCTTAAGAACCCCGCTAAATCTTAGAACCAACCCTAACAGAACTCTTTTTAAGTTCCAGATAGACTCTTTTCCTATGAAACTCAATACTGGAAAATGGAATCGCCGATCCTCCGCACGCTATCCTTTCCTGTAGGAATTCGGTGGTAGGATTTGAACAGGACCTCTTTATCGCTTGGAGCGTTAGCGATAAGGTCAGGCTGTTCTCCTTCTGCTACGTTTGCATCATCAATCTGAGTTCTCAGGTGACCGATACCACTTCCATCTCTCCCTGGAACCACTGATATGTCCTCTTCTGTTGGTGTTTTGTCGTCTTGTCCCGAAGGAGTGCTAAAAGTGAAGATAATTGAACAGCTGTGATGCTGCGGTGCAGCTGAACGCGGTGGATCATTATGGCTGAAATGCCATCTCTGGCGTACAAAGGCACCCTCTTGAAGTATTGTAGATAGCATTTCCGAGAGGGTTTCCATTGCCTGGACCGATAGGTTTTTAGTGGGTGAGAGTCCCACACGCCAGGGTAAAAACCATCTTTAGACCCTGACGGTGCATTAAGCATTTTCCTGTCGTAAAAAAAAAATATTTGTGTTTTATAAACCCTGATTTTCTTGTCCTCACATCTCTAGCAAAGCACAAGAGCCATCAAAATTAAGAAAGAACAAACTGATAAAATTTAGTGGCTGTGCGGGAATTCAAATTCCCAATATTGCTCTCATGGCTTTAAGCCACCAACTCAATCAAATATTTATATTTATAGGAAATAGTGATGCAGTATTATGAAACCATCTTTGTTATAATTTATTACAAGAATATTCCTTTACCTGAGTCAACATTTTGAGCATAGTGAGCGAGAGTTCTGGGGTTGGTGCTGGACAGATGTTCTATCATAGTTGGCAGCATGCTCTAAAACATAAAGTTCAATTGTCATGTAAACATTCTGGTAGAATAATGCCAATGAGTACAGGCACATCAATGGAGTAGACAACTCATAAAAAAATACTCATACATTTCCAGTATCGTTTGATGTAAATTTATAGTTTAGTGCATGCATTGACACAAAATAAAATGTTTAGCAATCATGTTAAATTACTAGTTGCTTTACCTGCACTTCAAAATTGACGAGAATACAGAGAATAATTTAATTCTTTTAACTTACACTGAAAACCAGTTACACATCCACCATTATTTAAAGTGAAGAACAAACAAACGGTATCAGCAATCTGACACATACTTTTCTCTCTTGACAACAACCCTTATCATGGGTAAGCCGGTGGGAGTAACTACGATATTTTATGGGGAAAATCACCAACGTTGCTATAACTTTTAAACGGTAGTTTTTACAGCAATGGGTGCAATACTCTTTTGTTTAGAGTTAAAAGGGCTATAACATACTAAATTTTAATTAAAATCGTTCAGGCAGTTTTGTTTTATATTCCGATATTTTTGGTATATTATGCTTTTTAAAAATCACTACTAAAAAGCAAAATTTGAAAAAAATAATAAAAATAAACGCTTGAAAATACTATGGATTATACTACCAACATACCAAATTTCATCAAAATCGGACCACAGGTGTAGTCTGTAGCTCTATACACATCCACACACACAGACATCTGAAAACCACTTTTTTGCGTTCAGGGGGACCCAAAACAGATATATCCACCCAAAACTCAATCTCAAACAATTTGACAAAAATAATACTTTCTCCATATACTATGTAAGGGGAGAGAAAGTAAATGAAACAAAACTTTATTTTGCTCTACCTTATTGAACTGTTTGTAGTCCCAGCCTGTAATAGAGAAGACTATCTCTACACAGACAGACTGCAGTGGAGAGCCGTCTCTACACAGATTAGCCTCTACTGTGGATAACCACGGCATCTTGGGCCACACCTGGTGTATACCCTGCTTGATAAACATCTCCTGCAACAATCATCACATGGATCACTCAGTGATTTAACTAAGCATCTATATAGTTAATACAATAAGGATTTTCTCTGTTACATCCTTTTTTCACCCATCATACTTAACCGAGTCATACGATTTTGGAGTCATTTCAAAGCTTATGATCCAGCGCACCAGCGAATAGTAACTAAAAAGATAACATCCTTTAAGGCTTTTTGATTTATTTTATCTAGAGTTTGCTTTCAACGATCCAGTGATGGTGACCAATTTTTTTATAACAGTTTAATTTATTTTAGTTGTAATTTAACAGCTGATATTTAGTTGGATGTTTGACCACAGTCCGATTGTAAACAAGAGACAGACAAAAATGTTTGAATAGTTTTTTTTGCGAATTTCCCATATAGGGAATAAGCTATTACCGTAGTACTCATGGTAAGACCTGCACCCGGGACTGATTTAATTTTTCATTTTGAGGTCCCTAGAGGCCAAAACACCATCCGTTCAATTTCATATAATATATATATGTGTCCGTTAGCGCGATAACTCGAGCAAAAATGATCCGATTTTGATGAAATTTGGTACAAACGTGTAAACCTACATTTATTCAAACGAGTTTGCTATCCAGCATAATCGGATCATGGGAACGGGGATTTATGGGGGGTTTTATGGGGTTTTCCCATTTTTGACCCTAAAATTTGCAATTTATTTTTAAACCGTTTTGTAGAGCTTAAAAAAAGAATTAATTTTGTATATTGAAGCGCTGTTGTATGCCTAACGGTCACGGAGAAAATAAAAAAATAGTGTAATTTAAAATTCCCATGTTATTCTTATGGAGAAAATTAAAATGATTGTAGTTTACTGGTTTATGGATATATATTGATAAAATTTATTTATTTCATCCTATACAGTTGACATATGGCCAAAAAACACTTTTTACGTTCCCCGTAGCAGCAAACCTAAGAACTCGTTAAATCTAATGTTATTTAAATAGGGAATAAATATGTATTATTTATGGAAATATTTTAGTAAAAATGTAATCAGACAAGTTGAAATTCGCTTAATCAGCAGGTTTGCTGCGGCTGGGGTATTTTTTTAATGCAACCTGATTGAGGTAGGTAACTCTTCAGTCTTTATGGTGTGGATCTAAATCCTTGGAATTATGTTTTTTTGAACCCTATTAAAATGTGTAATTTGTTCACAAGTCCCCTCATATAATACTATGCCCCACAGGCCACCAAAGGTCCAGTCATTTTAGAGTACTGCTACGGTGTTTCTATAAGCTGTTTTAAATATACCAGCCGATGTAAAAAGCAAAGTGTTTTTCGTTTTTTGATATCTTTATTAGTTCGGGCAGGATCTTCCTTCAAAGTTGGGTTTTCTCCCAGATTAACATGGGGGAATCTAAATATTTAATTGGAAACTTTGTCTCCACTAATTTGAGAGAACGGCTGGGCGTAAAAACTTGATAGAGGTGTCCAAAGAAAGGTATTGGTCTGTAGATGAGTTATAAAAAAAAAAAACGAAGTAAATTCGCTTAGGGCTCTGCCCCAGAAGCCTTTAAAGATCCCTCCACAGATTTGTTTACATCTTGGCCATGTGGATAATACTTTTTAATGAAACAGCTGTTAATTAATTTTAAAATTGTGTTTTAAACAACACACATTTATTGGGAGTTACTGAATAGTCCAAAAGAGGTATTTGCAATGTTATTTTCTGATTTTAAAATTGATTTTCTTCTGTATTACGTCATGTTTTGCAATATCTATATATATAATACGTGAAGCCGTATTTTGTTAACGCAACTCCTCCCTTATTTGTGGACCAATTTCAACGTTTAAGGTGTCAAAAGATTCGTCTCAATATGTAGTTTTGCAATAAGGTTTTAGAACTTTAAAATTTCTATTCTTAAGGGCGTGAGACCCTCTCAAAGGTCGGGTTTTCCCCATAAGAAATACATTGAACAATTTTAAAAACAAAAAACAGCAGTTTATAAAAATAAACGCATTAGCTTTTTGGGAGTAAATATTAATGTTTTAGTATTCAGTAGGTTAAGACCAAGTTAAGCAGTTAATCAGTTTTGTTGGAAGAACGGAAAATGCCTCAAGTTGAAAGACGAAATATTGTAAACGGGAGGAGGAAACAATTAATAATAAGGTATCTTATGTGTATGAGGAGAGTAGAGAAATAGAGGTCTGATCTAACAGATACACATCCATATACACATGCACTTGGTGAGATGAATTATATTTGCCAGTTTTGCTATGCAACTTACTTTGGAAGTGAAAAAATATACGAAGCCCATACGAAGCCGTGTTGTCACGATTGTAAAATAAACTTGCCTAATGTCATATCAAATTAATGTATGCAAGAGATTTTACTTAGGCTATGACACTGGCGGATCGAGATATTTCAAAACATTTATTAGAAACCATAATAATGCCTTGAGTTGATAAGTTCAATTAGTAAGATTATACCAAATCTTGGCGACTTTATGTTTTCATTGTAAACTTTTGTATTACTCGCTCTACTTTAATTGAGGAAAAACACAAATGGATTGTTTACTTCTAGGTTATGTTGCCTGTTCCTCAAAAAAACGTATAAAAAGTTTTTTGACTGAATTTTAGTTGCAATATTAGACATAAGTGAAGGAATTAGTGTTTATATATTCAACGATTGAGTAGTTAAAGTCAAGTTTATTTTTATGATTAAGGAGAGGCAAATAATATACGCTGTTCAAAAAGAGAAAATGAAAATTCCTATCCAAATCTTATAGATACAAAATTTATCCAACCTATTTCGACAAATGAATCCATATTCAAAATTTTGGGACAGGTATTAAGAGAAACCCCACTGAACAACGTGAGGACGTTCTGATGCGGGGCATATACTGTGACTAACACACAACACGTTAAAATACGTTAACAAACTTTTAATGGTGTTGCTGCTTTAGGCTATTCAAAGGCTTTCCAGTTGATAACCCAGAGTTTGTGGGTAAACAATGGAGCACATTAAATGGTTGATATCACTCCACTTTTCAGGATTCTCTACGGAGAAAATTTGTTTGATTAGGGGGATGTCTAGGCAACAGTTTTCTTCAATTCGCAATGTTGGAAAATCTTGGTTGCAACATGTTAGCTCGAATTGAAGCAGATCGTTTAGCATTCATTAGAAGCTATCAGTTAAAACTGAGAGCAGAAATAATGCAGGTGAATCTTGACGACGCAAATAGAGATATTTAAAATTAGTTTCTAACAAGTATTTAAACAACTCCTAAGATGTAGGCCTAACTAGAATTACTCGAATTTAAGCATGGCGTTTTCCTCAGCGTTATGTTTCATACTATGCGGCTCATTGAGCCGCACGGGTTCTCTAGTAGTTAATAATACTATTGAGTATACAGGGTGTTTCCAAATTTTCTGGACAAAAAAAAGTAAAAGAGCATGAGAAAAGGCAGAAGAAAAGCAAATTAATTAGCCAAGTAGTTATGCTCCTTTCACATTATTTAACACTAGCAGAGTACCCGTCCTTCGTACGGGGTTGGAATATAAACATAAAATGCTTATTGCAGTTATACTCAAGCTTTGCGTTTGCAATAAGAGAGGACACAGTTTGATAAAATTTGCTTTTTTAAATTTACAGTATTCTATAGTATTACACATCTACCATAGCCATAATGTTCTACCACTTCACCTAAACAATACAGAAATATAAATGATCCAATATCACAAATTATTCATGAAATGAAAAACATAAACATAACTGTATAAACAATCCTAATTTGACAGTTGTCATTGCGAATCACAGTTTTTTGTTGCTGCTTAGTTCAAACATGTTCAAATTAGCTGTTTTCATAAATGCAAAAAAGTATAGTGCTGCACCCTGTTGGTAAATCTTATAACTTTTAATGCTTTTCCATATCATAGAACCAACTTTTTTAGTTGAAACAGCTGACTAAATTCTGTAATTCCCTTTAAATATGAATACTCATAAGGTTAACATGGGGAATAACAGAGCCACTGGGGCGGAGCCCGAAAGGATTTTTGAGATAAAAATATGCCTATATGTTAATCGGGAATGTAAGCTATCATCATGCCAAATTTCACCCCAATCCGTCCAGTGGTTTATGCGTGATTGAACTTCAAACAAACAAACAAACAAACACACAAACTTTCACATTTATAATATTAGTAAGATTTTACCCTCACCTTATGTAAATAAAAATTCAAAGGACTTATAACAAAAAATTATGACAAACAAAAATTTGTAAATTCCTGACTAAGTGCAATCTACAAAGCATTCACCCATCCCACCAACTTTCATCTGAGCCATTCACCGTTTATTTTAGGTTGTCTCTCCCATCTAGCACAATGCACACCACACCTGACTCAGATAGGATTTGTTCTCTTAATTTATGATTCATTCTTCTGTCCAAAAAAACAACCCATAGACCATCCAGACATTGATAAGACATATCAGTCAGTCAAGCACTTTTACAACAGGTCAACCAAAACCCCAGGCATGTAGTTATACCTCACCAGATACAACGATACAAGTTATACAGTTATTCTTCCCAAATAGCAGCAAATGCTGGTATAGCTTTCAGCCGATTTTTACTGTAAGTGCGATTTTTACTGTAAGTGTAAATAAAAGTTTGGTTGTGTTAGTCTTTCGTCTGATATATTGGACGTTGAAGAAGAAAGTGATATGATGGCGATGGTGCTAAAATGGATCCTAAACCATTACAACTCAAGTTGCAAGTTTTGGCATAATAATTTGTAGAAGATACTATAAAGGTATGATGGGTTTTCAAAAACGGTTGTTAAAACGTAGTTTTATCTTTTTTCTATAGCCTAAGATAAACTGTAATGTTTAATCAAGTCTCAAAGGAAGAGACAGTTTTTGGATTATTGACTTTTTAGGATTTTTTCAAGTAAATGATGTAAAAAAGTCACTAAAGTTCTTCAATCGATTCAAGACTTAAATGTTACGTGGTTAAACCAAAATCCAAACACTATTGCTCAAATTTCTCTTACTGAACCTTAAAAACTTAAAACCCCTTTGGTTTCAGAAACCAACATTTTGGTTTATTCTTCTTATAAAAACCTTTTAAAAAATGTTTCCGCTTTGTGAGTAAACATTCAAATTTGTTTAACAGATTCACTACCAGGTGACACAAGATCACTCTTACAGCTGAGTGTGACAGTTGGTAGGCATCATGTCTACATACTACATACTACATACTACATAACAGTATTGGACAAAGCTATGAATTTTTCATAATTTATATTTTTTTACATACATTTATATGTAATAGACAAGTTATTGTCTACCTTTACCTAATGGGATTAGCCTATACATCAATTTTTTTATTTAGTACTTACCCAAAGCTGGTATCGATATTTGGCCATCTGCTTGAGGAAAGCAGGGAATTGAGACATGTATGCGACGGGCGCGAGCGCAAACATGCCTCGTATCTTGTTGTTGTACTCTGGCCGAGACACACACATGGTGTAGAACATTGTTGTGCCCATGGAGTGGCCGATGTAGAACAGCTGCTTGTGACCCGTCGTTGCTAGGATGTGGTCGATCATTGCAGGGACATCGTAGTACCCCATCTCATGGAAACTAAACACCATAACACACAGTGGATTAGGTTAAGGTAAGTAATCATAGCTAATTTTATTCAGGGAATTTACTAACTTTTTCTCAAACTACTAAGCATACTAGGAAATCAGTATCATTGATACTCTAGGACAAGAAAAAAGCGCCCTCCGCTCTCTTGCTCCTAGGAAAACCCAGCTTTAGTGTGCTAGTGTATTGTGTATGTGTGTCTTAGACACCCTCTAAATCTCAAACCACTAAAATGCTGGGGCTCATAAAGAATTGCAATAAAAATGTGTATGTTCACATCTGCTGTAACTAGTGTTTAGGTTTTCTTGGTAACCTATGTTTGTTCAAAGTATATACTTACGGAACCAAACTATGAAGAGGATTGACTTAAAATAGTTCAAAGACCCAAAATGTAACCTCTAGTGTTAAAAATCAAGTGAGAGTTCAGCAACCAGTGTTGACGTTAACTGACGTCAATTTTTTAGTTAAAAGGGAAACATTTCTTATTACAAACAAATGTTGTATGTACTTTACAGCTTAATAAACTTCAAATAATTTTAAAATTATAAGATTTTAGGTTCTTATACTGAGAGGTTATGATATTCTTTGGTCAAATTATTTAGGATTTCAATTAATTGTTGACTATCTTCAAAGTATCTATTTATTTTTAGTCAAAATCTATGCCACGAGCTTCTAGTTCTAAGCTAGGTTTGTGTTTTAATTAAGTTGTTCCTAAATGTTTGCCGCAATTAGACAACTCGTACATGATTCTGTCGATGTTTTTCAAAATAAATTTTATAATTTAACGAGGAGAAAATTTCACCCAGTTTAAACTATTTCTGCTAAGCCGTGTGACAGTGACAATGGTGTTGTGGTCAGCTGTTGTCAACCTTGCTCTACAATCCAAGGTCATTGTCACAGCTAGACACCTGTTATGTCACTCTCACAGATTTCCCAGCTGTACTTCCTGTCCTATAAACTGTTCTTTCTCCATTTAGTCCTTTCTCTTTCCTTAAACACCTGTATGGTCAAAGTTCAGGGACAGTAATATGTACAGGGTGTGGTGTTTGATTGTACCGAGAGGGATTTTAACGTCCAAGCTTTACAACTAGATATTATTTAGTACTGATACACACCTGTAGTCCCAAAAGTCGTCCATTGTATCGTTCATTGTTACATGAGTCTTGCAGTAGTTGTTTCCCCTGACGTTCCCTAGCCACACATCGTAACCTGCCTTGGCCAGTACAAAAGCTGAAAAGAAAAAAAAACATACTTATCAGTATCAATATTTTACGGTAGGCCTACAATTAAAATACCTAAATGAAAGTTTTATTTTAAAAAAGTGTTAATTTATAAAAAACCTAATCTGGAAAAATACCTACCTTTACGTAAAATTAAAAGAGTAGTAAAATCAAAAAGAGAATCCTTATTCAGTACAATACAAAATTATCTGATAAAAAGATAGGGCATTTGCTAACAATAAAAAATTAGTTATTTTCCAATTTAAAACTGTATTCTTATAGGTGGCTTACTTGAATCGGAAGAAAGTCCATTAAGGCACTATAAGAAATAAAAAATATTACACAACAAAAATTATTACAACATTTCACTGTTGTTATATGTGGTTTAACTTTCATCTGTACTCAGGGACTGTTTCACACTCTAAAAATTTTTGGAAAAGTTGGTGATATTTTCCAATTTTTTCCAAGTGAGTGAAAACAAAACTAGACTTAGACGCCTGTTTGGATGGTTTCTATGTTGTTACTGCAACAGGGATGCAAATAGAAGTCTCTAGGTTCCTAAAAAGAAAGGTTTTAAAAATCGAAATGTAAAAGGTTGGTTATACTGACCGGTTTTAAAATTCTAGATGGTTAAAAAAAATCTACAGTAGTGATTACAAATTAAATAGACAAAACATATTAATTAAATACAAAATGTTTATTCCATTTGTAATCACCCTGTATTATCTGGGCAGATGCGGTTAACCTTAGTAGCAAGTGATCTGGTTTTTGTTTTTGTTAACTATACACAAGTATTTGAGTTGTACAGGGTGAGGCAATGAGAACGCTACAATTTGTTTTACCTGTCACATGTTAATTGTTGCAACAATGAATGATCAGCTGTGCTTAAAACATCAATTATACTATGCCATTTTAGTAAATATTATGCCTGAGGCTATTAACACTAAGATTTTGATGTGGAAACCTATTTATAAAATAGTGGTTCTTGTGCAAAAACCCAGAGATTGTTTGGACCGTATTCCATCCTTGATCAACATGGCGTTGTTCCAGATTGGAAAACAATGTTTAACTAGGTAAATTTATTTAGGATAATCGCTTAAACAAAAAAAAAAATAATCGGTGGGTGCCGCAAAACTCTTTGTACTACACCAGCAAATGTTAAAAGAATATGAGTCCAAGTAACTCAAAGTCCGAAGAGATTTGCCAGATAGCTTTTGTTGTTGAAAGCTTTACGTTGGCTAATTTTTTTGGGAGGGGGGGTTGTTCTAATAAGCTACTTGCCGTTCTAGGTTTTTCAAAGTCACCCCACAGATTTGCTTGAACCGAAGCTAAGGATAGTCCAAAAACTAAAGTGATTCCTGAAGAAGTGCTGGAGGAGTATTTGATGGAGTTTCAAGTGGCTAAAAAGGAATGTCAAGTAGGACAATGAAGTCACTTGTAGGATTTTGTTCTCAAGAAATGGAAAAATGACTTTGTTAAGTTAAAATGGCAAAAGATAAGCTGTGTTTTGGTGTGCTATTTATATTCATAGGGTGAATATTATTGAGTTTGTACTGATTATAAATTGGGGCGCTTTCATTGCCCCACCCTGTATTAAAACCTCTACAGTATAGAAAACAGCAATTTGTTTTTATTCTCTTGAAGGCGCGCTTCATCGAGACCTCTCACATTGTTTCGCTCTCCATGGTCGCGGTATTATCTTCTAGCTAAAAGCCCTTGGTGATTGGGGAGATTTGAACCCATGAACCCAGGACCTAGTATTACTTACGCAAGTCTTTGTCAGAGCCTCTCAGTATCCACATGTCCGAGGCCCCGAGGATGCCGTGTTGTAGTAACACTGGAGGCTTCTTGTTCTTGCTCTTCTTGCTCACTATCCTGTGCAGTGGAAGTATGTAGCCGTCCTCTGTGGTGATTCTGTGCTCTTCAGATCTCCACCCGTACATGTTCAGCAGTGCCATCTAGAACAGTTGTTGACTATGTAACAGGAGTAGCAAATGTAAAGTAACAACATAGCTTACATGAATACTTACAGCATAGAAATGAAAATGATTTTTGAAATAAAAATGATTTATTTAAACAGGCAAAGCTAGGGCCACATGGCCCTCTCTTACACTTAACCTGTCAGTAGTGAATATTGTATCGGAAAAAGAATAAAGCTAAGCGCTCACTGGGTCGTTACGGTCGTCACAGCCGTCTCGGCACTTTTTAGAGGGGGTGTGCACACTGCATCGGGCGTTCCGCACTGTCCTCAATCCACCTTTCACCAAAACAGAAGTAAGTTTGGGAGAGGATCAAAAGATGGATGTGGAGTTAGAAATTGTGGTAGTGAGTGCATTTTTTATAGAAGAAGTAAATTTGTATTTGTGTTGTATACAAATCTTTACCAAAAGGAAATAATTAAAATGTGAAATCCTGCAAACTGGAAAAAAGTACAAGAAATCAACTTAGGCATACACTAATTTGGCTATTTCTACTAGTGAATTGATTTCCTTAGGAGAGAGTGAAACATTTCTATTTCAATATATAATTTTCTGTTTATGTTTCGGTTTTGTTTAGGTAATCCTGTACCTAAACGAAAAGTTTTTCTTAAATTCACGCCAGTGTGTTCAGTTTAGAAAAACCAAATGTTTCACCAGTTAGGAAAATATAATACGTTTATACTACTTTTTTATCGCAATGCTGAATGTAAGTTTTACAAAACGGCTAAATTTTACATCTAGCAAAAATAAAAACTTTTCTTCCAAAATTAACCATAAATATCTCAGAACAGCTTCTTATTTTTAACCATTTTTTATTAAGTATGTAGTGTTCTTTTTACTCTCAACAAAAAGGTACAAACTTTAGTAGAACCCATAATGCTGTAAAATTGTGGTCCAAAAAGTATAGGATTTGTTATCTTCCTCATTAAATGTTATAGCTATTCCCACGCTTACCCATGATAAGCGAGTTCTTGACAAGCTAATGAGAGAAAAAAACATGTCAGATTGCTGATACCGTTTATTTTTGGCACTATTTTCCACAAAATGGAAAAATGTAGACTATCCTAACTTCAAGCTAAAAGAGAGTTTCGTTAATGTTCAAGCAAATTATTATGTAACAATCCAACAAATCTTCTGATTACCTTACATCAATTACAGGAAGTACATTAGAACCATTAAGTAAGTACTAGCTTCTTAACGATCGAGACTTTAAGGAGATGCAAGTCAGCAGCCGGAAGCTGGATACAGGAAGATAGGAAGACGGAATGAGAAAGAAGAAGTGTCGGCCTGAAGGTCACGTGGTTAACTGATAACAGTAGTCAAGGCCAGCTGATGACAACAATGATCAGCTGATTGAGGCCGTTATCCTCCGCTCGGCGCTCGTCCGATAGGATTAGCATTCCTGCTACCTAAAACGGATTCCACCTTGACCTTTTGTGTATATTTTAGGAAACATTTGCATTTACAAACATTAAAATCTTCAGTTTTATTTTCGAACTGAATCAAATTAACGACATTTAATGCAAAGTTGCAACTTATACATCCTTTGGAACACGGTCAGGGCAATGTCCCAAAACAAATTACGTCACCTAGTAAAATATAAACTTATTTTAGGTGGTATTTTGAAATTCCGATGTTTAGTTCTTTTACATAGGTATCTTTTTAGCGAATTTCCCTATAGGGAAGTAGCTATTACCGTAGGTGGCATGGTAAGACCTAGGTGCGGGACCGATTTACTTTTTCATTTTGATGTCCCCAGAGGCCAAAAACACCATTCGTTCAAATTTTTATATATGTATATATATATATATAGGTATATATATATATATAGATTTATATATATATATATGTGTCCGTGAACACGATAACTTGAGTAATTTTTATCCGATTTTGATGAAATTTGGTTTGAAGGTGTAAGGCGGGATAAACTTGAATGAGTTCGCGAACCAGCATGATCGGACCATGGGAACGGGGTTTTACGGGGGGTTTTATGGGGTAAAAATGGGTTTTTCTAACTTTTGACCCTACAAACGAAAAATTTCCCAATTTCTCTTCAGACCTTCTTAAAGAGCTTAAAAAAACAAATAATTTAGTATAACAAAGTGTTTTTGTACTATTATTAGTTACGGAGAAAATTCAAATAATTGTTATTTTAAAATTCCCATGTTATTCTTATGGGGAATATTGTAAAATGTTGTAGTCTGCTTGTTTATGGATATATTTTGATCAAACTTGGTACATTTATTTATTTTATACTAAGTTATTAATATTTCTCTAAAAAACACACTTTTTTACCCTCCCTGTAGCAGCAAGCCTATGTACTCATAAAAATTAATGTTTATTAAATACATTTAATTGAAAATCAATTCAGGCAACTGGAAATTCGCTTAGTCGGCAGGTTTGCTGCGGCGGGGGTATTAATTAATTACGATAACAATCTTACAGATAATATTATCAGCTTATCTTATCGTTTAATATTGACATTCAAATATCTTTTAGAAAACTGTATTAATTTGGTATATATTTGTAAAATTTTAATAGACTACATTTTGGGATATGTCCCTCACTATGCTATGTCATTGACTATGACTATAAGTAAACATTTAATCATATACAATCTGAATCGTGTTTTGACATGTATTGTAATGTCCGGTAATTTTTTAATATGCTGATGTTGACTAGTTTCCTCTTTAGGGTAAATTTCTTGAGTAAAATATACACCCGAACATGTTTTGTAATCGCCAAATCATGTAGCATCGCTGTACAGATTTTCGATTAAGTATTCCCCAGACACTATTTTATAAAAAAATACCCCCTCCGCAGCAAACCTGCAGACTAAGCGAATTTCCATTTGCCTGATTGGATTTACACTAAAATGTCTCCTTAAAAATATCACATTTATTCCCTATTTAAATAGAATCAGTTTAACACATACTTAGGTTTGCTGCAACAGGGAGGGTAAGTGTTTTTTTTATGTAAAATGTTAATAGTTAGTAAGAAATTAAAACATTTTCCAAATTTGGGCAAAATATGTTAATAAACAAGCAAACTACAACAGTTTACTTATTCTCCATAAGAATAACATGGGAATTTTAAATTAAAAATTTTTTGGAATTTTCTCCGTAACCATTAGGCGCATTATAACGCTTCAATATACTAAATTATTTGTTTTTTTAAGCTCTACAAAATAGTTTGGAAAGAAATTGCAAAATGTTATGTTTTTTGGGTCAAAATGGGAAAAACCCATTTTTACCCCATAAACCCCCGTTCCCATGGTCCGATCATGCTGGTTCGCGAACTCGTTCGAATAAACGTAGGTTTACACGTTTGTACCAAATTTCATCAAAATCGGATCATTTTTTCTCGAGTTATCGCGCTAACGGACATATATATATTAACTTGAACGGATGGTGTTTTTGGCCTCTAGGGACCTCAAAACGAAAAAAAATCGGTCCCGGGTCCAGGTCTTACCATGAGTACTACGGTAATAGCTTATTCCCTATATGGGAAATTCGCTAAAAACAGGCCTACAAAAAAAATAATAAAAACAACTCTGACAGATACATTCTCAGAAGCTATTCTCAAGACTTTTCACGTGGTTCAGTATATGGAATGTTTATGAGTGATGGTGCTTATTTTGAGTGTTTTGGGAAAATATCGTAATTTACGGAAATGGCTCCGAGGTATCATTTGTCAATGAGATCGTGTTTTAGTCAATTAGGTAAAGCTTGCAGCCTTTACAAGCCAAGTCATGATTTTCCTTATCCTGGGGTTGTTTTCTCCCAAGCATGATGAGACCCTACGTCTGGACAAAATAATATCTAGGTCAATGTTTTTATAACCCTCACACAACTAGGCTATGGTTTCTGGGTTTATAGATGGGGTTTTTATAATTCTTAGCTAAGATTTTGTTGCTTACGGAGGTTTAAGTATTTTGGCAAATTTGAATATTTAGCCATTAAAACCACCCGATTGTATGAATACAGGATAATTGCGGACACGGACAATTGGGGACACGTCTTAAAAGCGGACAATTGCGGATACTAGGGATTAATGCTACCTAACAAGGGTTTGACAGGTATCTACAAATATTTCACTTCCGGACAACTGCGGACACATGTTCTGGAAAGAGTCTGATTTCCACCTAAAGAACAGATTCATACATATGATTTTAAGACTGATTTATATCACACTTTACACACTAACCTAACCTAACCTAGCCTAACCTAACATATATCGTGTATGTATCTGTTCCTTAGGTGGAAATCAGACTCTTTCCAGAACATGTGTCCACAGTTGTCCGGCAGTGAAATATTTGTAGATACCTGTCAAACCCTTTGTTAGGTAGCATTAATCTCTAGTATCCGCAATTGTCCGCTTTTAAGACGTGTCCCCAATTGTCCGTGTCCGCAACTGTCCGGACACCGATTGTTTTATTTTCAAGCAAATCCATAAGTTTTGTAAATTTTTGTTTTATTGACTACTTGTAACATACAGTGTGAGTTTTAAATGAGTTCCCCCCCTACTTTTTTCTTCATTTCTTAAGATATCAACTTCGGACCACATCAGATCATTGTAAGGTAGTAAGTACTTCATTTTTAGTGGGTATACATTTTTGGCCGCCATCTTGGATCCGCCATATTGGATACAAAGTTTTTTTTCAAATGTAAAGGTAGGGTTGTGACCCATTATTTTAAACTAAAATTTTACGCTGATTACAATGCCGCAACTAGTTTTTAAAAATCTTGATCCGTTCTAAAGTTATGAGGACTTTTTAACACTTTATTTTTAGCCCATTTTAACATTGTGCATCTACAAACTAAGACCATAATCTCAAAATAGTGCTAGATAACGATAATTATACACCACCATTCATTGTTGACCTATTTTCACTTGGTTATGACAGATGTAATGTTTTCGGCCGCCATCTTGGATCCGCCATTTTGAAATGTGATCAATTAATTTAAATATTAAGGTGG